GGTATATTATGTAATACTTTATAAAAGCATGTTAAGACCAAAGACATGAATAATTGAGCATGCATAGCATGACCTTACTGCAGTAAAATTCAATTATAGCGAATTCCTGTGGACCTGTGAATTTGCTTCGCTATATCCGTAATTTGTTATATCGTATAATGCAGTCATTTCAGATATATATCGCAAATTTGCAATATACGTGTTTCCTTCAAATATGACTATGGAATATGTTTAAGGAAGTATTAAATAAAAAAAATTTCCTTGGAGTACGAAAGTTTTCAGATGAAATTGATTTCAAATAGAATACTTACAAAAAATACTGTCAGTTTTATTGTCTGTTGTCTGTATTTGTATTGAGATTTACTGTATTAACAAGTTTTGCTGATACAAGAAATCAACTTTAAGAAATATCTCACCCAGAGCAAATGTCTATTTAAACTTGTACATACTCACACAAAGTACTATTCATTTGAACACAATTCCTTTTGTGGCAAAGCTCTGAGTCTTCTATGAATTCTAACTTTGAGAATGTTTTGTTTCAGTCGTTCTGTGGTTAACATTGAGGCCACTGTTATAGAGAAGACACTGTCGCCGATGGTGATTTCTTTCCTACTTGTCCGCAGAAAACGAGTCCGGAAAACAAAGAGTGAGTATTATACACTGCAGCGTAACAAGTCTTAGTGAAGCAGTTTTAAGGTTTTAGTGGAGCAGTTTTAGTTGATGGACTCCCATATTAACATCAACCTATGCAGAGGCTTGGGAAAAACATGTATGACATCACTTTAAAATAATGCAAATGAATCTGGATGAATAAATACAAAGTTTCTTTTTCATAAACACTCAAATACTTTTGTTTCCTATTTTTAATGTAAAAAAAAAAATGCTGTGCAAATTATATTGCCATAGACACACTAACTGAATATAGAATGAACACAGACTAGGTATTGCTGTACTGACTGAGGTGGCGTCCATATTTTATGTTCCAACTAAATTTAGAATGTGATTTTCTAAACTTCTGTTCTCCCCAGGTCGATTTAGAAAAATGAGCCCCAAATTGAAGAAATTGTATCTATTTTCTGTTGATTAAACGTGTTGATGACTGAGAAATGCACCAACATTTAGGAAAATCATCCCTGTAAGGGAAAGATACACGACAACGAAATAAATTAATGCTTTAGAGTCCAGAAATAGGCGCTGAAGTGGGTTGGGTATTTTTTCCGAAACGAGAGCTTTCATCCCTTGTAGAATTTATGTATATAGGTGTGGTACGTCTTTTTAGCTCACCTGAGCCAAAGGCTCAAGTGAGCTTTTCTGATAAATTTGTCCATTGTCTGTCGTCGTTGTTGTTGTAAACTTTTCACATTTTCATCTTCTTCTCAAGAACCACTGGGCCAATTTCAACCAAACTTGCCACAAAGTATCCTTAAGTGAAGGGGATTCAGGTTTGTTCAAATGAAGGGCCACGCCCTCTTTCAAGGGGAGATAATTTAGGGATTAGTGAAAAAGTAATGGCGTCTTTTAAAAATCTTCTTCTCAAGAACCACTTGGCCAGGAAAGATGAAACTCATAGTGAAGTATCCTCAGGTAGTGTAGATTCAAGTTTGTTCAAATCATGACCCCTGGGGGTCGGGTGGGGCCACAATGGGTGATCAAAGTTTTACATAGGAATATATAGGAAAAATCTTTAAAAATCTTCTTCTCAAGAACAGCAAAGCCATGATAGGTCATATTTACATGGAAGCATCCTCAGGTAGTGTAGATTCAAGTTTGTTCAAATCATGACCCCCAGGGGTCGGGTGGGGCCACAATTGGAGATCAAAGTTTTACATTGGAATAAATAGGAAAAATCTTTAAAAATCTTCTTCTCAAGAACAGCAAAGCCATGATTGGTCATATTAACATGGAAGCATCCTCAGATAGTGTACATTCAATTTGTTCAAATCATGACCCCCGGGGATAGGGTGGGGCCACAATGGGCGATCAAAGTTTTATGTAGGAACACATAGTAAAAATCTTTAAAAAAAACTATTTCTTAAGAACAGCAAAGCCATGATTGGTCATATTTTATATATACCCCCCCCCCCCCCCCCCCCCCCCCCCGAACCACTTTTATATTTGATTTCTGCTTTTTCCTAGCCATAGTGCTCAGGTGAGCGATGTGGCCCCTGGGCCTCTTGTTTAAACATAGTTTTTCTTGACTGAAAGTGTAAGAATCTCTATTTTAACAACTTTTAAATGTATTTAAAGAAGATTCAAAATTTTTAAAATTTATTTTATATTTAACAATCCTGAAGACAAGCCCCTATGGTATCATTAGGTTTTCATTTGACAATATGAGAGGTTTTCTAAAATGAGCATTGTGGCCAATGGGCCTTGTTACATGTGTAATGGATATACATGTACAGTCATATATTTCTGTTGTCAAAAAAAAAATATTTCCATTTTTTTCCTTTTTCAGTGCAAAAAAATCAGCAGACAGTTTTACTGATCAATTCTATAGAAGTGAACCCCATCAAAAATTAACACCAAATTCTGCTGCCAGTGATAGACATTGTAAAGCACCTGCTGAGGCCTACAGCACAGATAGAAAGCAAAGTATGAATAGTTTGCTCTTTGCTTGTGTTCCATTTTGACACTATGTGAATGTTTTATGTATATGGATTTAGCATGAGAAGGAATGGTTATTCAGCAATGTTATAGCTCCAGTATCAGGTTATTAAAAGAACAAAAAATATTTGTCTTTTGTGTACAAGTTGGTCATTAAAATATTTGTTTCCAGCATAACTGACTATTTTGACCTAGTTTTTTTTTGTATGAAATGTGTATCATTTATTTATCTTTTTTTTGTAAATAAAATAATGACTAAGATAATTGTTGCTTACATGTTGGAATGGTGCACTTTAACAAGGAAATATTTCTCAAGAGAGAAAACTACAGCACATGATCAATACTGAAATGGTGAAAGCTAATAAATCAGTCTCTAAAGTTCCTGAATATATTCAATATTTTATTTACACTGAAAGCCAGGACATTAGAGATGGTGAGAGCATTGAACAAGTACTACATGGTTCAATGCCTAACTCCCTCTCTATAAAATACAAAAATACTTTTAGGAAAGAATCCACCAATTTTTAGTTACCAGTTACTCATCTGCCTTTCTGATTGAGTATTCATTATTCAAGTAAAAATATGAAACCATCCATCTTCATCATCATACTTTTAATTTTATTAGCTTTACAAAAAGATATGAATACTAAAAAGAAAAACCAAAAATAGTTGACCAGAGGCCTGTTCAGCAGAGTGAACGTCCGCGAGCGCTCGCCTAAATTCCTTATCCTTTCAACAGAAATGTTGGCGAGCGCTCGCGAACGTTCGCGCTGTTGAACAGGCCTCTGTTGTAACTATGTGATGTGTTATGTATGTCCATCTGTCACCTGTCTACAACGCTGGCTGAAAGTATTTTATTAGTAAGGAGACTCAAATTTGTGAAATGAAGGGCCATGCTTCTCTATAGGGGGAAACAATAAGTATGAAAGTCTTTCAAAATATTTTCAAAGATTACTGAATCACATGATCAGAAAGATAAAATGTAAGTGAAAACATTGTATACTCAGGTTCATTCAAATTATGGCCCGTGGAGTGAAGGTTGTGTAATGTAGGAGATCAAACTTTTGCACAAGAAAATATACAAATACTTTTAAAAATCTCCTAAAATCTTCTCAATATCTAGACAAATAATGAGGAATCATCCCTGTATAGATTTAAATTTGTTTAAATCTTGGCCCACAGCATTAGTCAGTCACAGTAGTGGTCAAGGTTTTTACATATGTGTAGACAGAGTAATGGTTTGGGCAATATATGGACCACGGATATTAGCCCCTGACTAGAAATGCTTGGGTCACCACCCCAATATCCAGTCCAGTCATAAATTTTCTCCTTTCCTGTTACATATGCATGTATAAAATATATTGGAAGAGTATTTTTATATCTTCTCCAGAACAGCCAGTCCACAATCAATCAAAATAATATGCAGGCATCCCTACATAATGTAGACTCCAATGTTAAAATCATGGCCCCAGTGCTAGTGTTAGACATTAATAAGGGAACAAAATTTTCACAAAAGTATTGAAATATCCACAGAGATAACAAGACTACGATTTGTAGAGAAATAGGTATGATGTTCAAAATTACCAGGATAATTTTGGTAAAGATGATCAAAACAAATTTATTTGTTTTTCAAGTGATTTGCAAGGTTTCAGGCTATATCACTATATGTATAATCTACGTATAAGGCAGAAAAGTTGAAAAAGAAAAGCAAAAACAGACTAAGTTAGCCATGTATTTCATTCACATTAATTACAATAATTAAAGAAGAAAACCAGTAACAAATTTTCTGGAATATAAAAAAAATACATCAACAAAAAACACTGATATCAGACTCGACATTAACATTAATATTTGTCCTTTGTCTGATTGTCCTTGTCCAGTTTATTTTGTGATCAGACAAGTCTATCTTCAGACACACTTGTCTGATCAGATATTTTTTTTTTAACCATTCTGGAATATTATGAATATGAAAACAAAATCCAAGCTTGATTCATTTTTTAAAATAATGGCAAACATCAGGTAGATGCTGTCACACCTCACTTGATGTTGTTGAAGATGAGGTTACAAACCATGTTACTGTATCTTATGTCATTTTTTAAACAAATTTTTAAGTCAATATTGTAACTACTTTATTCTTGAATTTTTCCCCCCAAATTTCTTTGTAATTTAGTCTGAGTTCGACAAGTAAACAATGAATTCAGACAACTTCTCTGATGGACAATTGCATATTTTAATTAATGTTGAGCCCTGGATATTAGTGTGGCAATAATTTATATGAAATGAGAACAAAAAAAGCATGTTACACACATGTTTATGGATATCTACTATCATTTGATTCCAATGAGAAAAACAATCAAACTGTATATTTCTCAGTTTATGAGAATATTTATGAATAATTATCAGTATGAAGTACATGTATATACATATTCCATAAAATGCCTGAAAAAAGGTAATCCATCTTCACAGCCATAAAAATAGATCACAGATGTAATATACACTGTACACGTATTTAAAAGGAGGACCACAATGCTCACCTGAGCTCCAATTCCTGAGAATTGAATACAGTTGAACTTTGGTCTCTCGAACACAGATATCTTGAATACCATAGATATGTCAAAGAGATTGGGAAGTCCTTACCATGTATTTCTTAAGTATTTTTCCCTTGATATCTCAAACCCTTGAATAACTCTAAGTTTTTTTCTCGGTCCCTTCGAGTTTGAGATAACAAGCTTTGACTGTATTTAGAAAAACACTTATTGTGATCCTTAATTAGCTCTAGGCTTCAACTACTCTGACGGTATTTTGTGATTAAAAATAGATCACAGATGTAATATACACTGTACATGTATTTAAAAGGAGGACCACAATGCTCACCTGAGCTCCAATTCCTGAGAATTGAATACAGTTGAACTTTGGTCTCTCGAACACAGATATCTCGAATACCATAGATATGTCAAAGAGATTGGGAAGTCCTTTCCATGTATTTCTTAAGTATTTTTCCCTTGATATCTCAAACCCTTGAATAACTCTAAGTTTTTTCTCGGTCCCTTCGAGTTTGAGATAACAAGCTTTGACCATATTTAGAAAAACACTTATTGTGATCCTTAATTAGCTCTAGGCTTTAAATACTCTGACAGTATTTTGTGATTATTCCCCCCTCCCCTCCAAAGATCTGACCCCTGTAAATGTACTTACTGACATAAATATGTTGGACAAACTTTGATCAGAAACACTCACTTGAGCCTCTTACTCGAGTGAGCTAAATATGACAACTAGAGGGAATGAAGAATACTCCATTATCAACATTCAGTTCTAAGTACAGGTACAGTATTATGTATTCTCTCTGAATAATAATAAATACTTAGCATTGATGGAATGGTAAAAAAAAAAACGTACGTGTTTTATATTTAAGAAAATTACTTTGTCACATAAAAAAATACTGCACACAAAAAACTAATTTAAATAGTCTATAATTCTTAAAATATGTACTTTCAATTGTTAGTATCTCTAAATTACAGAGAGCATGGTTCTTTGATATTTATCAAAAACAGAGAAACTCAAGAAGTATTATGTAAGGTATTCAAAGCTGATGTCTAGGAATTAATACCAATGTGTTTTCAAAAGAACAAATATGGTTCTATACATATCTTTTGTTCAATATTGACAATATTTCAATGAGTAACAAATAAAGTAAAATATTTATATGAATAAGACACGAAAACTATTCCATATTTAAATGAAGTGCTTTGTGCATGTTTTACAACAATGATATACAGTGAAAGTATAAATGGTGAAAGCTCTTGTAGCACATAAAAATAACTAAATATTAGGGAAAAACTCAGCATCACAAAAAAGACACATCTTTGATCTAAAAGAATGACTGCACTTAACGCCGGGTTTTGGGTCTTTTTTGGTCGCTTCTGTTCCTTTTATATCATAAAATTATTTCATTTTTATATATTAATGAAAGAATCCTGTCAATTTCGAACCAAATTTAAATATTAAAATGAACTTAGACTGTGATACAATAAAATGATTCTATGTTTTTTGTCCTTACTCTTTCCAAATATAGAGAATTTACACTTACCCGCCCTTGATTAAACATTAGGTATGCATGAGAGGTAGAGCTAACATTGTACGAATGGGTCTAAAATTAGACTTGATAAATAACAATGACATGTTTGAATAAAAAAAGAACATGATCACTCTCTCTTTCCCATTCCCTCTTTCCCATTCCCTCTTTATTCTGAATGACACAAGTACAGTATTTTAAGAGGTTTCAAAAACAAAATTAACAATATGAGTGATGTCCATGTAAGTAAAGAATCTTTTACATCAATGCCTAACAATTTAACGTGTTCGAGCAATTTGTCCTAGTTAGCACAAAATATGCTACCTTACAAGTCACGTGACGGAATTTATTATTCGCAGAGTTACCTGAGATAAGAAATCACGTGGTGAATTATAATATTCAACATGTCACAGCCCTTGGTTACAATAGAGAGAGCAAATGTAAGAAGAAGCAGTTTTTTCTTGTTTAAACCATGAGCGTATGTTTGTCTATTAATCTCCTTTTGACACAATATTATTAATGCAAATATACAACTACTGTTAAACGGAGAACAATAGACAAACATGCGCTGACTATGTATAAAGTCAGTGAAAAAGTGGGCGTCCTCATTATCATACGGAAATTCAAGGAATTGTGATGACCCCCGCCTTAGAAAACAGCTTCGTACTTCGTAAATACGCACTTTTATTTAATGTAATTACATAAAGTTGTAGATTAGATGTTGACCATTCATGCAATTAAAAGAAAAATGCTTGTTTTGAAAGTTCATTTTGTCGCAATTTTGCATGTCCTTAAGTGCAGTCATCCTTTATGAATATTAAGTTCAATATAACTCTTTTAGCACTTGAAAGAATTTAAAGGAAAACATCTTTTCTCCTATTAACTAACTGAAAAATATTTCCAAAAGTTAGATTTTATGATAGATAATATATGAAAATTATTCATATTTTAAATCAACTAAGGTTTGAAACTGCTGCAATTTTATTTTATGGTGATTTCGATTACAAGAAAAAGCATGAAAAAGCACATTGAATAATTCAACACACAGAGTTCGCTTTTAAACTTCTTATCCATACATATGTATAACAGTTACAAGAAAAAAAAAAAACAATTGCCCTGTAAAGAAATACCACATAAAGATTATTATTAGTTCTGTCTGACTAGGTCACTCCACAAGAAGATCCACTCCACAGGCTTACTGATAATCAGATCTACCAATGACAAAAATACAGCCCCACGCCCCAAATACCTGGATCCACATATTGTACTGAATCTTTTTGTGGTGTTGATCTTCTTTTTTCATTATGACCTCATTAGGCATAAATTTATAATTTTTAGACAAAGAAATCATCCAGCTTTGCTGCCGAACAATTTATTGACATGACCTGTGGTCTTCTAGTTAGGTGGGTCAGGTTCTGATGTGATATCGGTGGATCATACAAGGTGGATTAGAAATGTTGTCTGAAGTTTGGAGGTGTAAGCTCCACGGATGTGTAATACAGGACATACGCAGATGAAGTCTGTTTAAAAGATTAATGGCTGTCAATGTTTACAAACAAGAGGTTGTGTCATCATAGAAAGACTGAGCAACAATGCAGATTTGAGAATGGCATTCTAGGATATCATTCATAGTTCATAATTAACTGGCAGAACCTTTTGCCCCTATTCTTTTGATTTCTATGTTTTTCATACATCAACTGTAAGTTCATGACTTGTTTTTTTTTTGGAGATTTTTTAAGATATAACATTCTCTAAATGATACTCACCCTAACAGATGACTCCGATATCTCGGACACATGGTCGTCGTCATATTTGTACCAGTTCTGTGTACATGGGTTACGGCAATATGCTGTATCTAAAGATAATAGAACTATGAGGCTGAAAATCTAATGCATGTCAAATACATGTACTATACCCTGGTATTTAAAAATCCAATAAATAGATGCTGTCTGCCACAGGCAGTTGACATTACATATTTTTCTTATTTAAAAAATATAACCCAGGTATGGGATTATATATATTTTTTTTAATAAGAAAAATATGTAACGTCAAGTGCCTCTGCTGTCTGCATATCATTCAGTCTTCATTTTCTGATGCCTCGTAATAGTAAATTATGGACTCAACATTAACATTTGTCTGATTTATTTTGTGATTGGACAAGTCAATCTCCTGACACACTTGTCAGATTAGAATAATTACTTATTGTACTATTACAGAATATTGTAAATATGATTGAAAAAATCCCCATGGAATTCATTTCAAACTATGATATAAAACAGAAATCGCAAATGTTACAATCTTAAGGATTCAGTCAATCATCACTAGATATTGTTAAATGGATGAGCGCAATCAAGACTAGGTTAAAGATAGTGCTCATGAATTTAGATTGGCAATGTTTTTTTGTTTTTTTTCATTTTTATGATTAAACAAATCTCTAAGTCAAAATTATACATATTCATTCTTGAAAGAAATTTCTACTAATTGTTTTAACCTCTTCAGAGTGGGACAAGTAAACAATAAATTCAGACAAGTAACATGTTTTAATAACGTGTCCAATGGACAAGTGGGTATTTTAGTTAATATTGAGCTCTGAAAAGTTGAACTTTGCTATCTCAAACTATAATATCTCCAATATCATGGAAGTTGGAAGTCTCAACTATCTTTTCTTTAAGTATTTTAACTTCGATATCTCGAATCCTCAGATATCTCTCTCGATTTTTTTCTATGTCCCATTGAGTTTGAAATAACAAGGTTTGAGTGCAATATTATATAAATATCTATGTTAACTGTCAGAAAATTTACACAGTATATTTTCAGTAAACGAATATTGCAAATTAAAATGGATAAAGTTCAATAGACAGTGTACTTACAATGTCCTCCATCTAATGTGCCAGTGTGATTCTAAAAAATATCCATTATGTGTCCATTCAAACAGAATTTACTAAGACTTACATGTATATAACCACTCTCAATAATATCTGTTTTTAGAATTTTATAGGATATAATGATTCAATATTCTGAAGATGTGACTTATTTGAAATCACTTCTAAAACAAGAAGTCTTGACACAATGACAATAATATTGCCTGCATTGTTTGAGGGATAATCTGCAGGTATAGCTGTTTTTCTATTAAATCTTTCTTTTAAATCACTTACTGAGGTAGCGTAGAGTTTGTAGATGATCTTTGAAGATATGGGCCCATCTAAGTATGGGTTCAAGTCAAGGTTCTTAGAGGGGAAATCCACATGGCTATTTATCTTTTCTCTCCACTGACCCTTATATACAAATCTATAAACAGTAGGACAAAAATTAATCTGACAATCAGCATACAGACTATATATATATATATATTTTACAAATTCAGTATAGTGTAATGCTGTGGCTTTCTTAGCAACCACAAACTTGATCACATTATTTTTCCTCAAACTTATACCTCTAATCATATGTTAGTTGTACCTAAATTCAAATGTCAATATTTTAAATATAACTGGCTAACAAATCACAGATTCCTGAATCCATAAGACAACATTCAGAATGATGTGAATATCTATTGTACACACTTCTGTTTTATACTATGTATTCCTATTTACCTGTTCAGCCCGATAAGAAGAATTCTGGGAAGTCTCCAGATGTCAATTTTCTTGACAGCGTCACGGTCAACTTTACATCGTGGACAGCGCCACCTACTGCTTCCTGTCAGTTTCTCCTCTTTCAGGAACAACCTCAAGCAATCCTGATCAATTCATATGGCAGTGTAAAACGTATTTCACATACATTTATAATTTTATATATTTAAATTGTATAAATCATACATTTATGCATATGGATTTTATAAACAAATGTAAATGTACACATTTGAAATAGAATAAAATACACAGTGACTTTACTTGCTAAAACTAAATTTCATACAGGAAAATTTACTTTGCTTTACAAAAGCAAAAAATATATTCATTTACATGTACCGGTATTAACAACAAACACACATTTACATTAAATGAAAAAAGTAAAAATGATGAATACTTACTCCGATGATTCAGTGTGAAGAGGGGAGAGAGGGGAATATTGAAGTACATGATATTGATTAAAACTTACCCCAAGTATACACCATGAGGATAATAAACACTTACATGTACCCCAAGGCTACAGTGTGGGGATAATAAACACTTACCCCAAGGCTACACCGTGATGATGGAGGGAGGGGGAGAGTGAGAAACATGAAAGCCTGAAAATTGACGGACATTTTCTGACAGTGTAGACACATCAGGGTGGACTTTAGCTGGCCCTGTAAACAATAGAAAAGTTTGAGCTTCACAGCTTAAGTAAAGTCTGAGTTTACATGTAACAGCTGGCCCTGTAAACAGTAGCAAAGTCTGAGTTTAATAGCTGGCCCCGTAAACAGTAGCAAAGTCTGAGTTTAATAGTTGGCCCTGTAAACAGTAGCAAAGTCTGAGTTTAACAGCTGGCCCTGTAAACAGTAGCAAAGTCTGAGTTTAACAGCTGGACCTGTAAACAGTAGCAAAATCTGAGTTTAACAGCTGACCCTGTAAACAGCAGCAAAGTCTGAGTTTAACAGCTGACCCTGTAAACAGTAGTAAAGTCTGAGTTTAACAGTTGGACCTGTAAACAGTAGCAAAGTCTGAGTTTAACAGCTTGCCCTGTAAACAGAAGCAAAGTCTGAGTTTAACAGCTGGACCTGTAAACAGTAGCAAAGTCTGAGTTTAACAGCTTGCCCTGTAAACAGTAGCAAAGTCTGAGTTTAACTACTGGACCTGTAAACAGTAGCAAAGTCTGAGTTTAACAGCTAGCCCTGTAAACAGTAGCAAAGTCTGAGTTTAACAGCTGGACCTGTAAACAGTAGCAAAGTCTGAGTTTAACAGCTGACCCTGTAAACAGTAGTGAAGTCTGAGTTTAACAGCTGGACCTGTAAACAGTAGTAAAGTCTGATTTTTACAGCTGGCCCTGTAAACAGTAGCAAAGTCTGAGTTTAACAGCTGGCCCTGTAATAATGTTTGTATTTATCATTCATGCCAAACTTTATTTCTCATATTTGTTCATGATATTTTAATAGTGAAGCATGTGTGGCTCCTTCCAGAACCATATAATATAGTTATGTATAGAGTACTAAGAGATGCCATTACTTATACACTAGTGTCCACTACAGCAATAAACAGACATGACAATACCTGGAACAGCTCTACTATGATGGATTCGTTACACATCTGGTGATGTTTCCAGGCTAGCTCGGCAGCTTGGGTGTCCGGCAGGTTATCGTTCTCCTGTTCTGGGATCTCGGGCCGCTTCTTTACCTGTACAAACACATATTATCTGTTACAATGCAGCCATCAACAGGAACAATTTCAACTGTCTACACTGTACATTGTATACATATTTCCAATTTTTTATGATAAGCTATAAAAAGTTGAATCAAATTTTGTTTGAAGCTGACATCACTTCAATATCAGAACAGACAGAGAGCAGACATAATAATATGCATTGTTTTGAACTTAGTTTTGGCCATGAAATATGACTGGTTCACATTATTTTGAACAAACAGGTAGTAGAGTTTCAAAAGCCTATCTAGGAAGTCCTATCCAAAAATATGTATTGTGTACATGTATATGTTTTATTTCAAAAGCATGAACCTTCCTTTTAAGTTTTACCGGGTATGAAATGCCAGTATATATTGTGTGATGAGAGATGAAACCCTGACCTTATTGAGTCCTTCATGAAGTCCGTCCATCAGAAATGTCAGAAAATCATGGCTGTCCTGCTGAGTGGTTCCAGCAAAGTCTGGGTTGTGTTTTCCCACGATGTACTGTAAAATACCATAAAATTATGATTAACCAAACATGTATTTTTTTAAATCAAACATAGTAATAAAATGTGTTAAGTTTTTATTCAATTTTCCTTTAAAAATGAATGAGTGTTTCTCCCTGACAGAAGAGTCTTGCAATTATTAAATAACTAAAATAACTTACACCTTTAAAATGCTTTAAGAATTCCTATGCCTAGCCTCAGACCTACCATCTTGTCACTACAAATTTTAACATTTGATTTACTCATAAACTTCTAAAATCCACTACATATTATGGTTGCTAATTATTATCCTTTTAATTTTCCATTAGTTCACCTTATATTAAAGGTATTTAAAATGACATAAGATTGTACATGTAAAATACTGCAGAATTATGCCCCTTTAAAGATCTGTTTTGCTTATTACATGGGTGAGGGGTGTCAGATATGATACCAGCAGGTTTGTCCCTAAGAATTGAAATAGCAGGGGACACTAAAGAGGTAGGAGGAGGTTTGGGGTTCCTCCCTTTACAGAGAGTTGAGGGTTAATACCAGAATAACCAGGAGATTACGTCAATATAGGTGGAGAAATTCCCCGGCCCCCGGGTCTTAGGGACAACCCTGTACCGGTATATGGAGGCTAACCTTGAAGTCTCTAGGGGTGATACATTTGTACTGTCCTGACCACAAGGCTTTAATGATGACAGAGAAGTCGTCTGCTACTTCACCATAGTAACCAAGCTGACTTTCCCTGTAGAATGTCAAAACAAATAACTACAAAATTATTGGAGTAATAGCAGGAAAAAACATTTTAAATTACATATAAGAATGTATCACACAAAAAAGTGAAATATCAAAAACACCTAATAATATTCTTAAACAGATCTCATTTAATTTACACTATAAAGCAATTGAGAATATTTAATGTACATAACTGTAATTTTAGAAATATTAACTAAGATCTCACCTGTTTATATCATATAAATACATGTCTGTTAGGAAATATGTTGCCAGGGGTGATGTGTTGTTTAAACACTGGATGGTGGAATTCATGTAACATGTGTTGCCAAGGTTACGTAGACCTGTTAGTGCTCTACCCTAAAAGAAATACAAGATTAGATTATAGACAAACATGCAGTGAGTTTCATAGATTTAAAATGTTTAATATTCCTGACATACGGTAAATTCATATGTTGTGAGGTCAAATTTCTGTGGTTTGAGGAAAAATTATTGTTATGTGAGGATTTGATTTTTATGGTTGAAGAATTGTTACGTATACAAAATTTTACATTTTGTGGAGAACATACATGTAAACTCATGGTTCTCTTCATACCACAATAACAAGGAAAATTAAACCCCCCAAAAACGAGCGATTTCACAGTATACATAATGCAAAAGTGATGATTTAGGATGGGGGGTAAATATCCAGGTGTATTTTTCTGACAGATAAAAGGGTGTAAAATATGTGGACATGTATTTTACATTAATTATGATGCCAGAACTTGGGATTTTTTTGTAATCACAGGGGATTTTACATGGCTTTAAGCTCGCTGTGTACAAAGTGTTAATTTCCCCATGCATAAATAAATGAGACCACTTTCACATATTCTTGATGCTGATCAAATCCTGCTGGAGCATACCTTGTTATATTATTTCATCTCTTGACTTTCTTATGCTCTAAGTCTTAGTAATTTTTTTAAGATGAGATGTTTAAGAATCAAAGAAAGTGAAATAAGGATATTGTGTGAGGTTCATATTTTAAATATTGTAGCTTGTAAATCTGTTGTCTATGTGGATTAGATAGTGATCCATCCTGCATTATAATTATGACCATCATCACTATTCCACAAACATGTAACTAAGTACTTTTGTTTTCTCTCCATTCCGTGCTGTACTTACCACATTTCCATAGACTGGGTTCAGATCTCTGTGTAGAGCTTTTCTGGGCTTTGGTTTAGGATGGTCAACTCTAAATTGTAAAAAAAAATAAATAAATAAAATTCAGTATCATTTTATGCAATCAGAAAAAAAACTTGTGTTTAATTGTAACTGTATGTACAGTGTACATTTTGTACAATTACAAATTCTTAATATCAATGAAAATGAATTAGCACATCAAATAAATGTGCCAAAGACACCAAAATATGAATCATACTACAGTAATTACATGTGCATTAAATATGTAGTACATGTATTTGATCAATTTCTGTGCTACATCATGAAAGAATTGTTGACATCCATTCATACATGTAAATATTTATGCAGCACTTTTAAGGCTGCAATAAGGAGGTGGGGCCTAATTTTTACGGGAAATGCTTTTTATGACATCACACAAAAATACATGTTCTTCAAATTACCACAAAATGAAATGATACGCTATTTTAAACTGTTGGATAGCTTTAAACTACATCAATACTTACTGTTGCATGTATTTTTGTCGTTGGTTAAATCCCACACAGCAATATATAAACAATTCACTGATCGCAATGCACTTGTCAGTGTGACGTCATATCGTAAAATTTGACACAGTTTGTATGGGGATCAAGTTATATTTTATACAATGGAAAATGTGTTTTGTAATTAAATAAAATATTATTTGCAGATGTATAAGAGGCCATTAACTTTGATGCGATGTCTATTTTATGATTTTATTCATATACTTCCCGTACATTCCCTAGACAAGTGAAACTGCCATACATTTGTATGCAGATTAATTAAAGGGTAATAGAAGAGTCGTAATAAATCGATATATTGCAAGGGCATACCCTCAATGAATTACGAGAAGCTTTTACACATAAACTCAAGAAGTATGAAGATATTTGAAAAGTGCTGCAAACCTGATTAAATCTTGCAAATGAATTAATTATATCTACATTTAATGTACTTGACCAGCAAAATATTCAACATGTGGTCTAACAAATGTAATTTTAGCAATTATACAGTAGAATCTATATAGGTTCGCGGCACTTTTCGCAAACTACAAAGAGTGTTGAAAATAATTATAAATTAAACTTAGATTTTTAGCTTGGTTATGCCCTTGCAAAATTGGAATTTATGGATCACCTCAATACTGCAGGCATATTTGCTAAAATCACGTGACTGCCACATTACGTGACAAATCTAAATAAGAAATCTAAACGTCCTCAACATGAAGTTTTCAGCCACATTACATTTGTCTGATAATAGTAAAGGCCTAAAAAGAATCGCCCATCCTTGTAAAGAATGTATTTTCTGTCTAAAAAATTCACTGATATTTCCATTTGGCACCTTAACTGTACTGCGTAGTACATGTATTTGATCAATTTCTGTCCTACAGTACAGTGTATGTAAGAATTGTTGACATCCAGTTACATATGTGACATTTCCCTACAATAGTCATTTTTTGTGCTACCTTTCCATAGGTTTGATGGTTCTGTCTATGGTGGGACGAGTTTTGGGCGCCTGTTCTTCATCAAACATCATCTTAGCAATATTAGGAGAGGAGTTGGACCGGGTCAGTCCACGGTTTGGAGTTGAAGGTTCATCTTTGAGTTTAGTAATGGACAGCTGTCCTGATGGTCGACCTAGTCAAATTATTAATCAATCAGATCAGATATTTATTTATAACTTACTTGTATGGATGCAATTTTTTAAAAAATTTATAACTTGCTTGTCTGGATGTGTGATGGTTACTTACTTGTGTGGATACTTTTCTGGATGTGTGAAGGTTACTTACTTGTGTAGATACTTGTCTGGATGTGAGATGGTTACTTACTTGTGTGGATGTGAGATAGTTACTTGTGTGGATGTGAGATGGTAACTTGTGTGGATGTGAGATGGTTACTTACTTGTGTGGATGTGAGATGGTTACTTACTTGTGTGGATGTGAGATGGTTACTTGTGTGGATGTGAAATGGTTACTTGTGTGGATGTGAGATGGTTACTTACTTGTCTGGATGTAAGGTGGTTCCCATTGGGTGGTTCCTTTGTTGTGGTTGATGTAGTAGTACCTCCTTGTGTTGGGATCAAGTCTCTTCTCCCATCCAGCTGGGAGGTTTGGGGAGGGGATGGTTCTTGGTTTGGAAGGCTGGGACTCAGCAACTACAAAATCATAGCAAGAACTGAAACATTTCTCTCAACGTAATAACAGCTCTAAATGAGGTTGGTAAATACTCAAAACTGTATGAACTAAAAAACATATTGTACATTGTCAATGACAAATGAACATGACTGATATTTCTGTGCCTATTTTTTGACCTTGGCCTTCTATACATGACCTTGATTTATAATTTTGTCATGTTGAAGCCTTTTGGTTCAAGCAATCTTTGAGGTAAGTATGAGTGCTTAAAAATTCCTGGATTTTAAAGCTATGACCAAGACTTGAATTTTCAAGACTTTGTGACTTGTACCTTTTCCAAATGACCTTTGCAATCTTACCAGTGTTAGGGAGATGTCTATGTACCTTCAAAACTTTCATTAAGGGGGATGAAATATGTTGTACAGTCCCTGAAACGTTCTACTTTCCCATTTTTCCGTTTGCTCACCATTTGTTCACCATTTGTTCAGCGTGCATTCACCATTCATTCACCGTGTGTTCATCGTTCGCTCTCTGTTCACAGTTTTGCGTTCTGCGTTCACCATGCGCTCGCGTTCACCATTCACAAAGCGTTCACCGTTCACTCTCCGTTCGTTCACTTTGCGTTCACCTTGCGTTCAGCATTCACTTATCGTTCAGTCGTCACTGTCATTTGGAACTCCAAAGTGAAAGGACTTATCTTTTTTGTAAGTAAGGTTTACAGGATTTGAAATTGAATAATAAACATATCGTGTTTAAAGGATCATTATTTTATGGGAACAAATTATCAACAATATGTTTTATTATTATTCTAACTTAGCTGTTATGTTATTTATTAAATTACTCTGGAAAATTAATGTTGTTATAAGTATATACCTATGTAGAACGATGCTGAAAAATTGAATTTAAATACGGGCAATATACAGGTACTTCAAGCACTGCAACATTTTGTTATTATGTTAAAGACAACAAATCGTGAATGGAGAGATAATAGTCTATGCCAATTAATTTACCAACTGCAGCAAAATTATGAAAGTATTTATTTATTTACCAACACGTGGTTTTCTTTCAATTACTATAGATATACATTATAAGAACTAGTTCTGAGAATTATAAATAGTACTGTGGATATCCAGTTTATTAAATATCTTTGGAGCGAATTAAATTGATAGTGGGGTTAAAAATATTTATTTAAATGTAGTATACTACAATTCATATATAAAAGCTATTGTTAGAGAGAACAAAATCCTTTCTTCACAATAACTGTATACGTTTGCCATTCGATATGATTAAGACCCCCCCCCCCCCCCCCCCCACCGCTTTCCACCTAAATCCAGTTACTTAGCATTTCCAGTACACATATATTTTAATTAATATTTATAAAGAAGTTAACGCATTCTGTAGCACAAAAATTTTAGTCTCATAACGAACATGCATCTAAAAAAAATCATTAAACAATAGTAGTTCAAAATATACACGTGCCGATGGTGGTATTTTAAATCAGACAGGGAGTATGTTTCAAATTCATTCCAAGTGTTTATGCCCAATATACATTATTTATTTATTTTTTTGGAAAAGTTGGAATCAAATCTAGAAATGATAAAAAATGTTAAAACTTCTTGGAAATACTACAGTGAAGCACTTTGCCTTTGGTGTGACGAGACTTTCACACCTGCACAGTGTTGAATGATTTTGATTGACAGGACAAACACGTGGACTTTGTGTGAACTTGAAGTAGGAAAATAAAAACCGATTATGACTGTCAAACAAAATGAATTTGTTGATAAAAAAGGTTACGTTCACTGCCTGATATATTTAGATAAATTTTAATAATTTTTGTTTATACAGGTACATGTACATGCATTTGTGGAAAGGGGGGGGGGGCTAAAACGGAACCTCTCTCTCTCTCATTTATCTATTTAATCAAAAACTATGACACATATTACTTAAATATCAAGTTCTGAAATTTTAATTTATAACAAATAATATGAATGCTTCTTTGTATCATCTTGTCTGAGTATAATCACGGGGAATTGTCTACAGATACATGTAGAAGTCTGCTCAATAAATCATCATTAAAAATAGAGGATACATAAATATATTATTGCATTAAATTTAAAAAAACGAGTGTATACATGCAATACGTCCACAGACCGTAGCAAAATATTTTAAATTTTTTTCTCATTATTTTAGACGGAATTGCCTTGACACGGAAATACATGTATGGTCGTTACAACCGTTGTAATACATTCTATAAGTCAGTAATATCTTCTTCGAAAATCATTATTTGTAATGGTTTAATGTATCAAATATAAATAAACATATTTATTTTACAACTAGAATAATTCTATCTGTAAAACTACAGCGTTCGTTAACAATGACAATATTTTACAGTGATAAAAATTGTTTGATTTAACAGCTGAATTTAAACATCATAGGTATGTGCAGAAAATATTATAAGAAACTTAATTAATAGTTTTACTTAATGTGCATGTTTCATCTTTCTCAGGACAATTTTTGAATATTTATTAATTAATTTACGCCTGACATTAAAATACAATAGAATAGATGCAATGTATGGAAAAGATCAGAGGCATTCCGAATAAATCTTTCACCTTGCGTTCACCGTTCACTTTGCGCTCGCTTTCGCGCTCCGTTCGCTCACCGTTCAGCGTTCACCTTGCGTTCAGCGTTCACACATCGTTCACTCACTGTTCGCTCACTGTTCGTTCAGCGTTCGCTCACCATTCAAGTGGGAAAGGAGAACGTTTCAGGGACTGTATATCAGAGAACTTTATGACACTGGCCTGTTCTACACATAAATATGTACTTGAAGTTGAGTCTTCAGCTTCTCCCTGACTTGTCCCCCCCCCCCCCCCTTCTCTATTTTTTTAGGCCTGACCTGTTCTATACTTACAGTCTAGTCTGCGGAGTTTCTCTTCGGCTTCACGTCTGGCCTGATCTGCCCTCTCTTTCTCTTTTCTTTCTTTCTCTTGCTTTTCCTCCTCTACTTTCTTCATCTGCTCCTGTCTCTTCCTCTCCTACAAAAGTTTATTAACAACATAACATTAAGAAATCTACGTTTAGCACATAAAATACTACCTAACCAAAGAAGAATATCTAGTTAATACAGAGTGACCTAATTTTTAAAGACAATTTCTACATGGAAGCTTATTATGCTCCTTTTACTGGATATTATTATTTTGACTGGTGAGTAAGAGTTACCTCCTCTTTCTTCTGGTCCTCCTCCTGTCGTTTCCTGTCTGCCTCCCTTCGCTCCTCTTCTTCTTTCTTCCTCTGTGCCTCTTGTCTGTCTTCCTCAGCCCTCCTCTGTGCCTCTCTCCTCTCCTTTTCCTCTCGCAGTCTCTGTGCCTCATCCTCCGCTTTCTTCAGCTCCAGTTTACGTCTCTCTTCTTCCAGTCTGGCATTTTCTCTTGCCTTATCTAGAGCCTGCTATAATTGTAATCACAGGTTTGTACACTTCAACATAAAGGACATTAAAAATGAAAAAAAAAATTAAATAAGTTTGATTTATCCAGTCATAATTTGAAAAAAAATATTCTCCATCAAAATATAATACATGATGTAAAAATGTATAATTTCAATGATTGAAATTTGCTGCTTCAAATTTCATAATTGAGAAGATAAACTATTGGACATTAATATAAATTCTAAAACAGCCTCTCCAAATGGATAAATTTACCTCTTTACTAAAAATCATTGAAAGTCCTGCTAGAATACAACATACTGTTATACAAAACATGGTAAACTGTAGAACAAGAGTGTAATAACTATACAATATTATTACTGAACCTCTCTTTACAGTACATTGACCTCTGACCTTCTTCTCTGCCTCCTCTTCTTCCCTCTTCTTCCTCTCCTGCCTCAGTCTCTCCACTTCCTCCAACCTTCGCTGTTTCTCTCGCTCCATTTCCTCCTGTTTCCGTCTTATCTCTTTTTCCTCCACTTCAAGCCTCTCAAGCTCTTTCCTTCTATGTTAGGAAACATTATGAATAATTAAACAAAAAGACTACAGAGCTGTGCTTAAGATCATAGAACCTAGCCTAGCTCTTAGGCTAGATATCTAGGCCTATTGACATCACTGTATAAACTAATGCTTGTTTTCCCTATATAACTGCTAGGCTAGCATATTAATAAAGATCATAGCTCTACATAAAGCTACATAGCTGCTATAATTTTGAATGCAGCCTAGGACTTTCAGTGGCTCCAGGCAAGCTTTTCTGAGCCAAGTTTGTTTTATGTACCTCCTCTCATCCTCTGCTGACTTTGTCTGTGTGTCTGTCTTCTGTTCTCTCTGATTCTCCTCCATTATAACTTTCTTCTTCCTCATCAAATCTGCCACATCTCGAGCCTGCTCCATTTTCAACCTCTCCAACTCCTAGAGCAGAGAAAGGATAACATTACAAGTATCTCATAACATTTACCAAGTATGCAAGAATTTACGTTATTAAAATGAAACTTTTCTTTGTCAAGCTTATTACACACCTAATTTACTGCATATGAGGACAATAGCAAGTTTACTTCCCCTGAGATAGCACTGTTTGATGAAGTGCAGCAGTTGTTGAGGAGGACAATTAACTTTCTACTCTCCTATCAGTCAGTAAATAGGTGTTTTATAAAACAGAAGTGTCAGACAATTCTACAACAGGATCAGGATAAACCAGAGAAGTTCTGAGATAAAATGCCATGGAAATTGAATGCTGATCGAGAATAGTTTCAATGAACATTAAACCATGGGCAACTCGCACAAAAACTATTTCAAGGTAGTGCTGTTAAGAAAAAAATAGTTTATTTCTCAATGTACATTTAGACAAATTTTCTGTAAAACCAACAAAAAGCAGTGAAATGTGTAAGAAAAAAATCAATTCAGTTCCAAAATTGACTGTTTGTTGTCTTATGAAATTCCTGTTTTGACAAGGATATCCTGTTAAGTTAAACACATAATCTTTATCTGATTTGATGTTCTAGCCTGAACTTCAAGTCCATTACAAATATCCTTGATATAGGTCAAGGCAACTTTTAATACCCTTGTTAAACAATATATATATTCATCACCTTTATAATCATGTAATTCTACAGTTGAACTTAGTTATCTTGAACATCGATATCTTGAATTCCAGGGATATGAAAAAGTGATTTGGCAGTCTCAACCTGTTTTTTCTTAATGTTTTATAACCTCTATATCTTGAATCCTCGGATACCTCAATTTCAAATTTCGGTCCTCTCAAGTTTGAGATAATGAGGTATTACTGTATTTGTATCATTGTAATATTTGTAACACTACATATAACATTACATTGTACCTGTATTTCTCTCTGTAACTTGAGTCTCCTCGCCTCCTGCTCCTCTGCCTCTTTATCCTGCTTTGTCTGAGCCTTCAGGTCCTCATCTCTCTTTACCTGTGTCCTCATGTCCTCTTCCTTTCTCCTGGCTTCTTCTGAAGCCCTCCTCTCTTCTTCTTTCCTCTGGGCCTCTGCCATTAAGTTGTTCTTAGGCTGAGATACAGACTTAGTGTCTGACAGGGCAGGTGTGGAGGAATTATTTAGACGATTCAGACTGTTGCTTGAGGGTGAGGGTTTAGGCTTTGTTGACCTGTCTATGGAGGGGACTCCCGGCCTGACCTGACCCCCAGCTGTGGGTGCTGCAGGCTTACTAGTGTCATTTACACTGCTGAGGACACCTAGAGGATCTGAGGCTGTCACTGGTTGAGGCTTTGGTTTAGGTTTGGGGGTTAATGAAAAATCCTCATCAAAGTCGGGATAGTCAAAATCCACTGAAACGCAGATAGTTTTTTTCATAATAAATAATCCTAAAAACAGGATTAACTACATGTACTTGGAAGTACTTGGACTATAATCAATTTTTCTTAATTTTAATTTTTTTATTTGTAACTTTACTTTATCTTTAAGGTTTCAGCTGTCAATATCAGAAGGGGGCAGGGTTCGAAATTAACTTTTGTAAGCACTAGTCCGTACGGACTAGTGACTTCCAGTTTTCGCTAGTCCGTAAAGCATTTGACTAGTCCACCTTTTGTTTTATGATAATGATAACATACCCGTGATAAACCTTCTTTGTAACTTTAAATCCCCCCCCCCCCCATCTACCTTTATGAGATAAAATTATTATTTTTGAATACAAAATTAAATTCTGATTCATCTGTTGCTACGGAAAAAAAAAAATTGCAAGGTATCAAACATATAAATATTTTTTTGATTACATCAGTAGAAAAAAATACTTAAACTCAGTAGTGATATACTTAAAAAAAAATTCCCCAGAAATGTCAATGAACGGAGTATCAAAAAGTGTCAATAAACAATTAAAACAATGAATAAATATTTTTATGAATTGATTGTATCACTGAGTGAGAAAAAAATGGAGAAAAAGGTTGGTTGACATTTTTGGGGCATTGCTGGTATTAGTCTTACCCCTGACGTAATTATGTCCGTAATATTACCTTGATAACTGTGATCTGTGTGTGATTAAATAATTTTTTAATAATGTTTATCGCATTTGTATCCTTACAAATCATCTGTGATCATTTACCCGATGTGTTGCAACAATAACTTGATTATAACTTTTTATTGCTTGAGGATACAATGTATCATTATATACATATATGTATATGTTACGATTTCGGGAACTTGTAGGCTGTAAAAACAGCTTTAAAACATAGGAAATTTTCAACACATATACTATTTAAATAATTTAGGACGATTTTGTGAATGTCAATAATAATGCATGGCAATTAACTTCTTTCTGACGGCCACCTTCTCGTGAAAATCTGTCGTTTTTAATTTTTTGGCAAAATCGTCCCTGGTAATGCTAGCAACTTCATCTCTCTAAAGCTTGTTATTGTTTACATCGTTTTAATGATAAAACTGTAGACACTTTTGCTTAAACAGGCATTCATTTGAAAGAAAGCAGTGAGGAAAAAATACTAAGATTAAATTTATAGTTGGATTTGTCACTAGTCCCAGGTCCCTGCTAGTCCGTACGGACTAGTGCTACATGAACTTGACTAGTCCAACACAATTTTTACTAGTCTCGGACTTACGGACATGAGCTAATTTCGAACCCTGGGGGGTACTTACAGGAAGGGGCTGATGAGGTGGGTCCCTCCTGGGTTGGGTTGGTCACTCTAGCATTAGTGGTCAGTTGGGGGTAGTACATGAGCCACTGGTCATAACCCCCTTCCAGGACTAAAGGCTCACTCTTAATGATCACTGATGAATCATACTGAAAATAAAATTTTAATACAAGTAATACATAAATATTAAGTCACTGAGCAATGGAAGAAATCAATACCTCTCGCTATTAAAGTGCACACATGTTTTCTATTTTGAGATTGGCAACTCTTTTATTCACTTAAGTTTTATTTGTCTACTTTCAAAAATTCTACTACATGTACATGTTGTTTTGGAATAAACAATACATGTATAACTTCTATTTACAAAGAAATAATTCATGATAAAAATTTTTCTGCTGTAATTGAAAATAGTGAGAAGAAAATACATAACAAATATTTCTTTCAAAGACTAAATTTCTATCCACCTTGAACAAGGCATCCTTCAGTGTACGGAGAGGTGTTGCTATGGTGACTTGATTTAAGGTCGAGTTCCAGTCCAGTAGGACGATGTGATCCACTTGACCCCGTTTTCCCCACAGCCCTTTTGCCTCCTCAGGTAATGCTCCCCCTATGTAGATTGCTGTGGTCCTAAAATACACAGAGTATAAATTGAATCAAGTAAATGAAGGACATACTCAATGTAGTTTGGAACTTTAATTTCTAATTTCCTGTATAATTAAGGTTCCAATTATTAAAAGACATTTGTGCAATATTATGATTCCTGGTAATGTGAGAACTCCTCTGAATCAAATTCATAGGAAATACCTACTATATTTTTGTCAATTTTTCTTAAAAAAAAAAAACACAAGGATTTTGATATCTGTTTAAAACTCATGGCAATGTATGCTTATTTTTTTTGTCTGAGAACATCTGATGGTATTATGATTTTAAATTAAGAATATCTTGGAAAATTATCAGTGGGAAAGGAATACTGTAGACACACTGTACTCTACTATACTGCATATGTCCTTAAGTTCACATGTAAGACTACAGTTGTGCCTAGATGGTGCCAAACCAAAATCTAACAACTTAAGGAGGACAAAACACACATCACTGGTAATTTGAAAAGGAGTTAGGAAATTAAAATTCGTTGGACATTTTGGACATACATGTATCAACAGACTTTTTTCCATTTAGGACCAATAGCAAGTATGATATAAGGAACTCTGCATATACTATTCTTGTAGTTATTTTGGCCCCACCTACCCTGGTTTGATAACATCCGCTGGTACATTGATACAGGAATCATGTTTGATGTGTGACTCCTGATACTGTGATCCTGGTCTTACATCCATTATAATCAGACTTGTTTCCTTGTCATTTAACAAATCATACAGCTGTACTGGGCTTATTTTCCCAGCAGTCTCTTGGCTAGCATCTGCTGAAAAATTATTGAAAACTGATTTATTGATATATAAAAGATAGAACACACATGTGTACCTCAAACCATAGCTGTACTTACATGTACATATAAAAAGACTGAACACACATGTGCTTACTATTCACATCTCAAACAATAGCTATACTTACTTGTATGTATTTGAGTACTGTGTTAATACATTCTTATTAAATCAATTGTTTGGACTTTCTCTAAAACATACATGTATCTCTAGGAAGACATGTTTTATGGAAATTTAAAACAAATTAAATATCTACTTATAAATAAACTGATAGTTTTACACAATTGTCTTCAGACTTTAAGAAAATATTATCAGCATGGAAAAAAAAATAAAGTCTCCTTGCAAAAGATGAAACTCGAGAAGGTACACACCATGGTGTTGTTTCACCCACATAAGCTGTTAAAAACAATATTTTCTTATATTTTCAGTTTAATAATCAAAGTGAATAGCAAGAACATGTGATAAATGTATGCTACATATCACTTGCTTTTTCTGGCATTAGAGCTCTAACATTTATATCCTCCCTTTAAAACATTGACACAAAACAACACTTTTTTTCATTTAAAGTGGAAAGAGAAGCAGCATGTCAACATGTATACATGTACATTTAGTTTATACAGGTAGAATCTATAAGGATGGCTGGGCTAAAAATAGTAACTTGATCATGTTGATGTAGTCTTCATTTACAATGTTTCATTAATATCAAATTTTAAAATGATTTATATGATAGTTTTATTTTTAGGATCAACAGCAACAAAATTTTTTGAAAATGAATATACAAAAATTATGTATTATTGTAACTTTAAGTTGATGGTAAATTCTATTCAAATCAATATGATCAAGCAAGAAATTTTTTTTTCTTTTATAATTACGCTACTCTAAGACTGTCTGCTCATGAAAATTTCATTCTGGCATTGTTAGAGATTAGGCCATTCCAAGTTTTTTCTATGTTTAGCGTCCGTCAGGCTTTGGTTTTTGACACTTCATATCAGAAAAAACAAACAAAATCAGGAGTCCTGAAATTTATTTTTCTTGTTGAAATCTTTGAATTCTGTCAATTTCTCTAAGTATTTGTATACAATATGTCACATTTGGTATATTTTAAGCACTTAATACATTGATTTTGCTGAAGGATAGATCTTCCTACAAGAAAAATAAATTAATGAAATCAAATCCCTTGAATGACGTCAGTTTTATGATTATCAAGTCTGTGTTTAATTTTTTGTCTTGTGTGTTTTTTGCGAATAGGTAGGTAAGTTTTAGAAAAATGGGTGGACGCTAAACAGAGAAAAAACTTGGAGAATGGTCTTATGTGTATATGCAACAATAACCAGAATTTGTGATAATTTTTTCTTGCTTTTTTATTTTTATATCAAATAGCTATTTAGAAAAAATTAAGTGTCACAAAAATATAATGACCTACATTAAATAAATTAAATCTAATCTAGCCTTACCTGCTTTATCGCTGTTTTTGCCTGCACTTTCTGTCTCCTCTTTGGGTTTTGGAACTTTTTCCTCAGATTTAACTGGTTCCTCTTGAGGACCAGTTTTATCGTCAAGGGGAGATAACTTGCTTGCTACATCCTCAGCCTCTGCTAACTCATATCTAATAAACAGGAATATCTTCACAACTCAGTTTTACAATGTAATTAAAAAAGAAATGTGAAACACAAATATCCCGTGGGCCATAGCATGGTTCAGTTTTGGACAAATTTGACCTTGTCCAAATAACCTTGAGTTAGGGTCAAAACACAACCTCTGATCACAAGGACCGTGTGTACACATCTGCTAAGTATGAGCTTACAATGATCCTCAGTTATCTATCTACAGAGTTATGGGTCCTATACGACATATATACATGTACTTCCAATTCCAGTGATATTTAAATGAAAACAATGGTTTATAACTCATAAAATGTGATAGTCATAATCTATTATGTGAAAAATATGACATCTCCATATTGCATAATCAAAAGTTGTGAGCATGGTCAAAGATGCGGACATATACAAAGAAGACCAATAACAATTTTTTTTCCTTGGGGGCATGAAAATACATATTTGATTCTTGCTCTATAATGTGTGTTTATTCATTTAATGAATAGACCATGTTTTGAACAAAATTGTTGATATTCTGTATTTCACAACTGACATGATCAAACTAACTGTTTAATATTATACAACACTCCAACATCAGGATCCTGTTTTTTCTTTTGATCTGCACTTCACATTCAATATTAAATGAAATTTAAGCAGAAGACAAACCAGTATATTAGAGACAGTGATGACATGCAGACTGTTTAGATTTTTACCTGTCCTTAAGGTTTGATGATAATTCCTCTGCTTTATCCATACATTTCAGCAAAGTTTTCTGTCCAATCAAACTATCAAAATAGTCCTGAAATAAAACAATTACACAGTCAATAAAATGTAGATGCAATTATATTTTACTTCTTTTCTTCCCCCCCCCCCTCCATTTTGTATGAATATCATAATGTACATGAAATGGGGATAAAGAACAGTATTCAAGCTCAAAGTCCATTTAAACAACACAAATTGGGAGCAGAGCAAACATGGACCTCTAAAATCATCAGAGGTGGGATCAGGTGCCATGGAGGAGTGAGCATCCCCTGCCAACCGGTCACACCCGCCGTGCGCTCCTTGTCATGATCAGGAAAAACGGAAAAATCCATAGACAATTTATTGTGTAAATAATGGCCTAACAATAAGTACGAAAAACATCAGTCAGCATTTGACTATATGCAATATTCATTTTTTAAAGATCCATTTTTTAAAAATCTTAAGCTTATATGGCTGTTTAGGATGTGATATCAGTACTTCATGCCATAAATATAATGAGAGCAGTGATAAGCTCAGATAATACAGAAGTTTTGCAGACCAACCTGTACTTGTAAAGTCAAAGTTAGAATTGCATGTCCACATTTACATTATATTTTCTTGTTTAGTAACTTGTATGTGTATTTGTAAATGCTTTAAAAGCAAAAGTCTTCATTTTTAGATAATTTCAATATACAGGTAACTCTTGATGGCTCGAACTTCGATCTCTCGAAGTTCTTGATCGCTCGAAGTGAGTCTCCGGTCCCGAATTTTTCCACTATATAACTAAGCAAATTTACTCCTGATTTCTCGAACTCTTGATCTCTCGAAACCCTTGATCCCTCGAAGTCAAAATGCAGTCCCGCTATGCATATTCTATTAGAATTTACCCTCAATACCTCGAAGTGGCTATCTGTATACAAGATTATATAATTAGCACCTTTACCTGGACATTTAAATGGCCCCAGACAGAAGACGCGGGTCTCGGGGAACGGGATGTTTATTCAGGTGACACTTATGCTGCAAGGTGATAATTAATCATATTTTGCCTATATGCTATTAAAATAATTATCATCGACTGTCTTACGATAATTAATTTAGAGACGCAGTGTCATTGAAAAGTAGTAATTGATTAAAAGACAAAACACTAATTTAATTTTTATTTCGAGTGCAGTGTCAAAGTTAAACGAAATATGAAAACAGCAGAAACAGCCTTAATGTCAATATGACGACTATTTTTGGACAAATACTTACAGAACTGCGTTCAATGATCATTTTTTGAATAGTATGTACGACGCTGTAAAATGTCGTTTTCATGTAATGAATGCATAGTATGATGTCCGTATTACGAAGAATAAATAAATATACATGAAACGACGATATACATTTTTTGCTTTACTCAGTTTGATGAAATATTCATCTGGATTACGAAAAAATATCGTTGTTTTATAAAAACCACGTGTAAAAGTTAGCACTGCATGAAAATCATTACATCCGGTAAGACTAATTTTAAAACCTGTCAACAAACCCGGAAAATTCCGGACTCTTGAAAACTCGAACTCTTGATCTCTCGAAGTTTTTCCTTGTTCCCGCGGACTTTGAGGTATCGAGAGTTACCTGTATTTTTGAAAGTTTATCCACCTTAGTTTTAATGTACATCAATATTTTAATTGAATCTATACAAGTATTTATAAAAATAAATTCAATAAAGTGTCTTTATAACCTTGACTCGTCAAATCATGTTTTGAAATTCAAGGTTAGTGTATTTTATGCTTCATAAAATAATGTTTTACCACAAAAACAAATTTCTTAGGCCATCTTTAAAAATTGTTTGGTTGTCTTTACATCCAGTAAACAATTTCTTATGCATTCAGAAAAATAAATTTTGAAAATTGAAATGTTGCATTGAAGTTAAAATTTTCTGGGAAAAAAATTTCCCACCTATCTACAGACCCATTTTTTTTCATTTTGAGTGTGGAGAGGGCCTGAAGATGTTTGATTTTGACAAACTGTTTTCCTGAAAATTCTTGAGAATTTCCCACAAAAAATATCTAGATCATAATGAGGTTGCCATCTCCCCCTCCCCTTTAAAACCGTTTCTCAGTTAGCTCTCTCCATCTTGTACCTTTTGTTTCTTGTAATCTGGGGACTTCCTGATAAGGGTGACAATATTAAAGTACTTCATGTACATAATGTACGCCTTCTCCTCATCTCCTAGTGATTCATTGAGGACAGCTTCTTTGTTGATTTTCTCTGCAGATTTCAACAGTCTACAAAATATTTGTAGAAGGATTTAATATCATATTTGGTTGCCAAAATAAAAATGGTTAAACAAAATATGACAAACTTGAGGCTTATTTTGGTATTAAAATGATTTATTTTGCAGTAGGAGAACTGTTCCCATTCTCTTTTAAGGTTTCAAATTCAGAGGATGACATAGAATATATATTCAGTAAAAGAATAATTTATATGCACATTTTGGGGTTATTTGTCATTTTAGCTGGTAAAGCAGCAAGGTCATTTAGAGCCTTCAGAGATTTGGCCAGGTAGAGGTCTTTCTTCTTTACAGGCATGGCGGTTTATCTGCATAATACAGAAAAACATGTCACAATACAAATTACCATCTAGACTAATAGCAGGAATAAGTAGATGAAAAGGATATTTTAAAGATCATGAATTCAAAACAACTTCTGCTGATTTAAAGATTTTTTAAACCTTCAGTATTAATATAATAATTTTTCAGTAAACAACTTTCAGAATGTCAAGAAAAAAAAGACGATGTTCAAAATATACAAACTTTACAGCTTCTGCTTTATTACACCTCAACTTCCGGGCCTTTAACGCAGTAATCCGAGTATTAGCACAATATTTAACACTGTTTTCTTGGAATTTACCTTAAGTATGACATGGAAAATATAGTTAATTAAAAATGTCACGATATGTTATTGATGTAATCTCATTTTTATCTCCGATTACTTTCATAATATTTACAACTAAGTCCATTTTGGATTTGTCAATAATAATGCGAAGGCCGATCCCGACAGGAAAGGCAGGCGGAAAATCTAGTCCAGACTCTCTCGGATTAATGTTTTTTCGTTGATATTCTCCACATCGCTTAACAGATTAGGTCCAAACTTAGTAGACACAATTATTACGTTGAACTAGTTTAATATAGACATAAGAATGTTTTTAAAAAAATATATTACGAATGGTCATCGGTATCCGTTTTTGTCCACTTTTGGGCAGAACATCGCTGATATGTTTATGTATGTGGGAATATAACACATATGCCAAGAAGTTGGAAGTGATTCTTCTTGGTTAAATGAAGAATATTAAGGTATTCAATGTATTATGAAGGAATAATGGACAATTTGAATCATTTTTAAACTAGTCAAATATATATTGCTAGATAACGACGAAGGTCAAATGAACCAAATTTACATGACTGATAACATATTAGAAGTCGGCATTTTGCACCTTAACCGTTATCTGCCCTTGATGAAGAGAAGAAAATTTCAATTTGTCAAAATATCTGTGGTAGATTATCAGTTCATTTTTTTGTTTGCATTGCTGCAAAAGTTCACTATGGGACTCTGAACATGTTGTAAAATATCATTTTTCAAATTTTAGGGCATGTTACCATGCTAACCACATAGCAACCAATTTTGCCAAAGTATCAAAGACTTTTATCAAAGAGATTTTATAGAAATATTGAGACTATGCGTGTCCCTATATATAGAATAGCTCTTAATAAAAAAGAATCACTACCCGGACTCGGGAGTCAGAAATCAAATGTTCTTGATTTAACATATTACAAGTAACAATGTTGAAATATTTATGTATGTGTGAATGTAAGTGAGCTAAAAACCGAGAGAGTCGGGAGTCGGGGGTCGAAAGTACTAGATTTACCACTTGATAATTATGATAAATGATAGATACATTCTTTAATTAATTTATTTACTTCTAGTAACAATCTCAATTCAATAAACATATACTCTTGTATGTGTATCTCTTTATTTTTTAAAAAATAAAATCAGAATTTACACTAATGAAGCTATATAGTCTGGTTGGAAGTATAAATACCCCCCCCCCCCATCCGAGCACTGCACGCCCCTTCAATAATATTAGAGACCTGTCCCCACAGTCTGGAAAAGTTTCTTCCGTGCACGCCTGATAAGATTTTACAATTTTTCTTGCCCAGACGTTTATCTTATCTTTTTATAACAAAGTAAATATGAAACAAGATACTGCATTTTTCTTTAAAGATCAGAGTACAGTCATTTAAACCAAAGCAAACTCCGGACAAAGAGTCGATATTACAGGGCTTTCAACCATCACCTTAAAGTCAGCATTTCTCAATTTTTATGGTCGTTATAATGACTTTGTTTGCAAGCTTCAATCTATCGTTGGGTCGTATTCTGAGTGGCATGTTTCATACCAATTGTTAGACCTTTGGGTATTTTTAAAATCAATTTTGACTATGGATTGATTATTCTGTTTACCTTATTAATACAGAGTGCTCACAGCGTGTAAAACCGATTAAGAGGAGATGGGCTCGCGTCAAAATTTTTGACATAAAGTAGAAAATATGATTTTTCAAGGATTATTTCAAATTAAACTAATAGTTTTAAATATATTAAGGAAATATCTAATTAAAAAGACAAACTTTAACGCAGAGATTTATTTTTAATGAATTAAAACAAACGCACTATTTCTCGTGCTTATAACTGTGATATTCGCGAGTCACCGACAGAGGTACCAGGCATGGATCTAGGAATTAAAGTTAGAGGGGCGCAAAAAGTATGCAGGTGGTCGGGAGGCCGCCTTGAGGCCCCAGTGGATCCTTGGCGAAGCCCTGACGGGGGTCCAGGGGGCGAAGGCCCCGGAGGCTCCTGGATTCTAGAGATTTTGTAGGGTAAAAATGAGGTCTACCGAGTAGACATTTTTATACTTTCTCGACGAAACTGTGATTTACGCAGACTTTGACAATTTTTTTTTGGGGGGGGGGGGGGTTCGCCCCCTTAAATCCGCCACTGGGTACCCAAAGTAAGGTCTTGTCTCGAGGAATATAACTGAACTATGAAAGCCCTAGCAGCAACCATTGGATAGATATGGAAAAGGTTAAAGTTTTTCAAAAGTAAGTCAAACATCAAGGTCAAAGGGTAAAAATAAATGGTGCCCAAGGAAAGGCCTTTTCACAAGAAATACATTATGAAAGCCCTAGCACCAACCGTTCAAAAGTTATGGCCAATTTTAAAGTTTTTCAAAAGTAGGTCAAACTCCAAGGTCAAAGTTGTTGGTATCCAAAGTAAGGTCTTGTCACAAGGATTACATACTAGAATGTGAAATATGAAAGCCCTAGCACCAACTATTCAAAAGTAAAGTTTTCCAAAAGTAGGTCAAACTCCAAGGTCAAGGTCAATGGGCTATAATTGTTGGTATCCAAAGGAAAGTCTTGTCACAAGGAATACACATATGAAGTATGAAAGTCCTAGTAGCAACTATTAAAAAGTTATGGCCTAGGTTAAAATTGTTCAAAAGTAGGTCAAACTCCTAGGTCAATGTGAAAGGGTCAAAGTTGTTGGTATCCCAAAGAAGGTCTTATCACAAAGATTACACATGTGAAGTATGAAAGCACTAGGATCAATTGATCAAAAGTTATGGACAAGGTTAAAGGTGGGTAAAATTTTGCAAAACTGGGTCAAACTCCAAGGTCAAGATCAAAACGTCAAATATGATGGTACCTAAAGAAAGGTCTTGTCACAAGGAATACACATGTGAAATATGAAAGCCATAACTTCAAACAATCAAAAGTTATGGGTAATGTTAACGTTTTTGCGGACACACACACAGATAAACAGAAAAACAGACAGACGGACGGACAGTGCAAAAACTATATGCCCCCGAATCTTTCATTACAGGAGCATGAAAATTTAAATACACGAGTTCTTAGCATTTGTTTTTCCAACGGAGAAAAAATCTAACTCACTGAATTACATGTACAATGTTTTGTTAAATCATCTTTTTGCTTCATACATGTAGCATGTGTAATCATTCATTTATCTGATTATGAGATCCCTCCCTTCAGTGGTAACCTATGAGATCCCTCCCTTCAGTGGTAACCAGGAGCTCTAAACAAGTTTACACGATGTAAGAAGTGTTCACTTTCATAGTTTAGTGGAAGTTTATGTTCATGTAACATACTATCATGGTTGATTCATTCATAATGTCACTATTCCTGTGTAATAAATATTAACCAAATCTGTGAGATATAAAAGTTTACATTATGTTAAGCCTCTTAAGGAGTCATAAATCTCAGAAATGGTTTTATCAAAAATGAAGAATGCATTACGAATGTTTTCTAAAACGTAATATAACTGGTTCACTCTGTTTTTGGTTGGAAAAAAATATGTACAAAAGAAATTCAAGATTTCGAGATTTCTCATCACCTTGGAGCTTTCGACGATATAAACTGAAAAAACGCAGAATTAAAAACAAATTCCATCAACAACTTTCCCCAAGAAAGACCGTTCTCTGTATACCGGTATATTTGAAATTTTAACACGTTGTTTTAATTTCTCGGAGAAAACAGCTGAGAGCCACTATCTTTCAGCAAATAAAAATAAAACAGGTGTTATATTTACATAGTTTATTAATCAAAACAACATTACAATATAAAGAGACGTAGGAATAATCACCGCCCCTTCTCACCTGATCTTAAAATTAACGAAATAACAAGTTAGTTCATCCCAAGATGGAGAATATTATAATCATACAAATTGAAACAAACTAGGAACATCTGACTACTTTTATTCATTAAAATTTGCTTTGAATGTCAGTCTATGTAATCACATGCTGCTAAATATTCAGCGCCTTTTCACCATCATTGCACTCAGTGTAAGTTGATGTTCCTATTTTATTGCAGGATATTCTACTTAATTAAAGTTTCAGTGTTTATTCCTCAGAGGCCTGACAACACAATCACGATTCAGACAAAATGCATACATAACTTTGTAAAAACCGTCTGCTGAGGTAAAAAGTCATTTATTTTAATTTTAAGAATTCTCAAATCTCAACAATCAGCATTTGTTTAAAATTTTCATCTTCTCAACTTATACACTCTTTTTATTATAAAATAAATTAACATTTAGCATATGTGATAATGCAGAACCTACTGGAAAGAAATAGATCCGTAAACCTTGGATCTACAATGTAAAATTCATTTTGAAATAGAGATGAACTTGACAAATGAAATTTATAATGAAAGGCATTTTAATTAATCTTATTGTCAAGCTTTTTCTATTTTTTTTTAACTCTTAGCTGATAATCCGGAAATTTTCACATTTCACACTACCTCATATACAATTCATGAAGTTGCATATGAGAAAATAAATTGCTTGGGTAGCTCTTCCCAATCGGATATCGGAAAGGATTAGCATGAACAAAATGTTTCACTTGATATGTACCCCATATTATTTCACACAGAAATTTATCAAGTTTCATGAATTGTTTGTTGATAAATTCACTCATTCGCAATAACAAATCAATTTATGCGCCATTTGAAACTACACACGTTTCATCACAAATTGACCAA